ATATAATTGAAATTATCGTGCTTGAGCCAATCGGGACTAAACTTTAAAGACTAGATTTCTTTATGCGATAGCTTGTTCTGGTATTCTTTAAAACTGCACCAAAGCAAGCTCAGCAGAAGTAATGAGAAACCCTTTCTTGTAATAATATGGAAAAGTTCTAACGTGATCATAAATTACTTTTGACTATGAAAAGAAAAAGCTGAACTGCACATCACTCTTTATCAGACATGGTTCTGGATGAAAAAAGCAACCTGTTTGAGCTTAAGATAGCTATGTGATGAAAAAAGCGAATAGCCAATAATTTAAGCAAGTAGCCCGTCTAATTTGATTAAACAGGTGCAATATTGTTCAAGGTAAATGTATTGTCATTGTACAACACAGGGTTGCACAAGGAAATGCAGTTGTAATCCCTTAATGCTGCAGAAATGACAAAGAATCAAAACAAATACAATATCACGGTCCTACAGTATATTGGTGAATGTAAACAGCAGCAACGAAACACTGGGGAATTCCCTGAGCCCTGAGCGGATACTCTGGCTGGCATCTTATTATTAAACATTAGACAGACATTTTTCCCACTATTGGGTCGTTGGAACAATTTCTCTCCCCTCGGGGCAGGAACATACGTATTGTGTGTAAATGTGTCAACACATGGGTCAAAGTCCCTCTTGTCTGTACATAATAAAATCAGTGCCCTTTATGTAGTACATTTATGTTTGTGGGTATAAATTCAATTAAAAAGGCTGATTCATTTACTCTAAATGGAGGCATACTCTTGTCCGTGCTGTGCAAAGGTCTCTTAGTATTTGTTATTTTAGTTTTCTCCAACATGTTACCAATGCAGCGGTATTACTACCTTTAAACAGCAATATGATCGGCCACTTATCAGAAACTGTCACCTCTGCAAACAGCAAACATGATATACGTCATTACTAATCTTTAGGCTTAATAGTGTGTCAACACAGGGAGAGTTGGTTGTGTAATGTTTGCTCTTGAGCAGGAAGCCGGATAAGACATACAGTACACACAGGTATCGAGGAGTCTCAGCCTTAAAAATCCTGATTTGGTTTTATTTAATCAAATCTCAAAAATAAAGAGTCCAAGTAATTGTTTGTTGGATAATTGTGGACACATTTGAGCCATGTTACGGGGAGCATGCTGTGCTTTTCGTCTGTCACATGTATGGGGTTTTAAATGGTCCTTTAACAAGGCCTGCAGGATATACTTGGAGGTGTAATGTAAACTTTTCTGCTCCATTAAAGGTTAAGGCTATTTATACAAGCCTGTATTTGTCCATACATTAGCTGCAGAAACACAGCAGCCAGATGTCATAAAAACAAGCCAAGAATGTCATCTCATAACCTTTGTGAACCAAAGTACATTTTGAGTGTAAGGTAAATGTTGTTCCTAGATAATGTGAAAAATGTGTTAAAAACTTATATAAAAAACGAATATCCACTTAGAAGATTGATACTGTTCTTAAAACTGTGTTGTAGATGTGTAGCTGGCCCCAGCAGCTTAGTTTAGCTTAGCTTAGCTTAGCATACAGACAGGCAGCAAGGGGAAACAGCTAGCCTGCCTATCAAGAGGTAAAATAAATCTGCCTACCATAATCTTCTAAAGCTCACATATTATTTAAACATCATATTTTGCTCCATTGTTTAGCTCTAACCATTTTTTAGGAAAAACACCGGAGAGGAAATGACTGCTCCCAGCCAAGAAATACGGCGAATTGTTGTTTGAATACTTTGGTTTTTGTTTGGATAAAACAAACAAGACTTTAATGTGCTGGTAGGCGATTTTAGACATAGCCAGGCTATCTGTTTCCCCTTGCTTCCTGTTTTTATGATTAGCAACATGTTTACTTAACTAATGTGAGGGTATCAACCTTCTCCTCTAACCCTCTGCAAGAAAGCAAATAATAGTATTTTTCAGAATGTCCAACTTCTTCCGGTGGCAGACTCTGTGGCACAAAATAATTAGGCTACTGTAAGTGCGTGATAAAGAGAGAAATGAAAGTGGGACAGTCTTTCAGCAGCCAGGTGTTCATTACAAAGTACCCCCCCCCCCCACCCACTTTTTCATTTATTATAACAGGCTCTTTGTAACTGCAGCAGCTACACACCTGAAAGGTAAAAGTGAAGTTATATTGGCGTTATATTTGTCATCAGTTAGTGGTTTTGAGAGAGACGGGAGTCTAAAATCTGTCAACGACCTCTCGTTAAGTTAACGAGTGATTCATAAATCTGGTGTTCAACTGAATCTTCAAAAACAGAGATGCTACAGAAGTAAACGTTTTCCATACTTTCTTGTGAATTTGAATAAATCAATAGAGCTGTCAATCTAACAGAAAACAGAGGGCTTGGTATTGTGTGTCTCTGCTCTTCCTTGTGTCAGGGTTTCCAGCTTTGTATAGCCAATGCAAATGTTGTCAGCTTGAATACCTCTGATTGTGCTACTCTGCTTCACTCCCTGTAGCCACAATGCAACGTAATTCATGTAGGCCTACTCATTGTGAGAAACACAAGGCCTCTAAGTTTATCCGTCTCCTATACTTATTACAATTGTTGCAAAAAAAGATGTCAGCGGTGATTGAAAAACGTGACATTTATCTAATAATTTTACATAAATATGATAACATAGAATCATTTGGAAACTTGTTTAACAGGTAAACTGCCTGCAAAATCAGAAAGAAAGATGGTTTTGGGCAACGATTTAAAGATGATCTTGTGATTAATAGTGACTTATCTAATGATTCTCTGAGTCACTTCACTGACTCAGAGAGTCATGAAAAGAGGATGAGGAACTCCCATTATGACACTTGTGCAGTTCTAGTGGTTGAAGTATGATTGACCTTTCTCAAACAAAGGGCAAGCGGACATTTTTAATGAACCTACAAGTTTTAGAACTCTGAAAACGGAACAGAAAAGGGCCGCAGGTGTAATTATTGTATCTGTAGTTTGCATGAGTTTAGATTTATGGGCATGCAGAGGCGTGTTATTCCAACTCAGGGGGAAGTTTCGGGTTACAGGAAACCTACAGCTGTGTGTGGGGTGTTTCCTGAACAGTATCAGGGAACCTCCTTAATGATAGAGGATCTCTGCCTGAAACAACAATTGCATCAGAGTAGATTAGATCAAGATTACAGTGTGATGAGATCAGTGAAAACATGATGAGTCTGGATCATATCACCTGACAATACACTTTGTTTTTGTTGTATGATTAAATGAGTCATGATTGAGAGAATACGAACCAACTTCGCATAATATCAAGCGCATCTTTATATTATTACATTTTTGTCAAGGTAGTTATGGATATAATTCAATTCATTTTTAAGAAAGTGCAGTGAATATGGTAATTCGTGGATCAATAAGGGAAACAATTATGGAATAATGTGTCTTATGTTAAACTCACCCAACAAATCCAACGAGAAGACAAATACAACTTAATCTCTCAGTATTTTCCGAATTCCCTGCAGAGTCTGCAACTTCCAGCACCAAGTCCATCTGTTAGGACTGATGATGAAGATCTAGAACAACATTTGCAAAATTGTCATTTAAAACATATGGACACTGTTTTTTTTTTAGCAAACAATACTCAAAAAGGAGCTCATAGTTCATTTGTTGGAATAGATGGTGCATGTGTGATTGACTTTAAAACAACTAAATTTGACCCAAAGATGAAAATGTTTAAACTCTCTGAGACCAGGAAAGATCTCTAAGCATGAAACACTCATCTCATAGTCAAGTGCCACATGTTTGGAGTTGAACATTGCGGATAAAGCGGTTGCCTGTCATCTCCTGTGGTTTGCTTTTCCAGATGGGGCCATGGACATAACATTTGGGCCGTCCCCCCATCCTACCCCCCTAATTCCCTCTACAGCTGGTGTTTCCAGGGCCCCATTTTACAATAATGACAAGCACAAACTCACAAGGTGAAAACTCAAGCAGCCATACAGTGGCGGGTATATTTACCAGACACCTTCACTTGGAGATGATACACTTAAAGTCCGTGCCTCTGAGAAAAAATGATCTAAGACCTGTGCACCCTTTTTGACATCATTTCATAATACCAAATAGCTACAACTTTAGTTTGATCATTTTTAGATACTCAAAGGAGTTGTTCAGGCTAACATACTTTATTACTGTTATTATATGTTTTACAGGATATGTCTGATGTATATTTTTAACAATGTGGAATATTTTTTAAACCCTAAACCCTGAGAATTATATGCTGAAAATGTCATTAAAATATTTTTGAAAGGTTCAAAGTACCAAACCTTCTTTTCAGCCTACGCAGGAAAAATAACTCCCTTTAAATTACTTAAGAATGTATTGTGTGTAGTATGTGTGTAGGAGGAGAGAGAAGATGTGCAATGAATTCATTCACAACATTGTCCCCTGGTCAGTTCTGGTGTGATATTTAAAACCACAGACGTTTCCATAAAGCAGACATGACAGTGATGTATGGACTGAGGACACGATCCTAAAGAAAGTTGAACACAAAGTCGTTCAATCACGTCTGTCAGCTGCATGTCAGTTAAAAATAGAGAAGTTTGCATGGCGGAAAAGTGTACAGTATCGGCTGTTAAAAACGTGTTAATGTCCGATTAGTTATTTGTGAAAATGTTCTGGTGAGGATCCTCATTCCTGTGGTTTCTATAAAACATAATTCATTGGTGCACTCCCTCTGCTATGCCACCCGTCTACTGTTTATAAATATATCACAGATATTTTAGTCTTCAAATCTCATCCATATTCGCTCCTCATTCTATTCTTGGTTCCCTGTCTTAATATGACTGCAAAAGAAACAGTTTTACACACATGTAGTGCTTATTAGTCAAGGTCAGAAATTATTCTAATGTTTTGTGTGTGTGTGTGTGTGTGTGTGTGTGTGTGTGTGTGTGTGTGTGTGTGTGTGTGTGTGTGTGTGTGTGTGTGTGTGTGTGTGTGTGTGTGTGTGTGTGTGTGTGTGTGTGTGTGTGTGTTGTGTCTGTGCAGGTTATTGCTGAAGATGCAAGCTCCAACTGTCTCACCTGTGACCGACACTACTGTCCCTTCAAACACTACCGCCGTCACAAAGACCAAAGAACAAATACTCATCCAGAGTAAGGATAAACATACTGTGTTTGTGTTCAAAAAGTGTGTGTGTGTGTGTGTGTGTGTGTGTGTGTGTGTGTGTGTGTGTGTGTGTGTGTGTGTGTGTGTGTGTGTGTGTGTGTGTGTGTGTGTGTGTGTGTGTGTGTGTGTGTGTGTGCATTGTGTCCTTGTCCTCTTAACTTAGATACCGATAAAACACACCCTTGTGAAAGAGGTGTTTGTCTGGACACTATAAGATCTTCGATATTGTGTGATGAGACAAGCCTCGTAAATAACAACAAATTGTGTCATGCAATCTGAAGGGATTGTTTGGGAGTGGCCCCCATACATTTGACCGAATATATTTGCCATTCTCTGTTTTTTCTTGTGAGGGATGCCGTAGCTAAGCTACTACACACACTTCTTATCGAGAATAAGTTGCATGGAGCAATGTGTCAAATGTAAAAAGACAAACTCAACCTTTCAACGTGTTCATTTTTCCTTCTCTCAGGTTCTGGGGCAATGATCGCTGTCATCGTCGTAGGCGTCATCCTTATTCTCGCCATTCTTCTGATCATCCTGAAGACATACAACAGGTAAAGCCGCATTCCTGTTTGATGGGACAATTCCTGCATAGTGAATGTCACGAGCCATGAAACAAAACATCATTCTATTTGTATCAACTTCAAGGAGCACTATAAACCTGCTGCTGTTTATAGTCTTCTCTTCAGGCTAATAAAAACAATAATTATTTTTAGGCCAGAGGGGGTAAAAACTATATTTATTTCAAAAGTAGAAGTGTAAAGACGTAAAACATGGAAATCCTAATTACAATTATTTAAGTTAAGGTAGTTTTGTAACTTTCTGCTGCTACCATTGTACGTTTTGGGACCCGCAAGGGGAATTTGAGGGGTAAAAACATTGTAATGGATTAATATGAAATAATGAATGATGAGAGATCACATATAGACACTAATTTAAGGGTAAACAAAGTAAAAAGGTTAGGAAGTGTGGGTCATTTTATTCACAGATTTTTTTTTATCATTTATTAATGACAACTGTTGAAGTTATTGGCATACTAGCAAAATTATACCAGAAGGCCAGAGGGAAGATCTATATCCATATTGATATATAACTGTTAAATACCAATTATGAAGATACAAACACTGAATATCACATTGAATTTAAGGGAAGTAACATCATTGTCTATTTGTTTCCAGGCGGACACATGTATCCAGAGTCCTCGGAGGCAACGGCGGCCCCAAACCTCGACCGAAGTTGTCACAATCCACCGTTCAGAGCAACATGCCGCTGAGCACCCTGGGAGTCAACTCTGTGTCGGGCAGTGTTTTGAACTCAAACCCGGCCTCGGAGAACAACTTCCAGCTGCCCAGAACGGAGCTGAACAGCGCAGAGGGAAACCACATAGAGCAGTCGAGCTCCATCAGTGACTCCACAGTGATCACCATACATGACATTCCATCCATAGGAGACACATAGCAACACGATTGTACTGACCGATGTGTCATCTTCATCCGTGACCAAATACTGTGTGCTGACTGAATCCCGTGGAGACTCGATCTGTGACGTTAGTGTCGTGACTGTCGATCTCCACCAACTGAGCCACTGCTGGTGACTACAATAACATGATGTCTTTTTGTGTGCTAAAACACACACCATGAACAGCATGCTACAATAAACAGACACAATGGATTGCATGAAGGATTTTGCATGAAAGGAAACTGAGGCTTTCTTGAGAAGAACTGCTTTTTGGCTACAGTCAGTGTTCAGAGTATAGATGCCAGAAGGTTCTCACTGTTTGTACTCTTTGCAGATTACTACTAATACCATGAAGACAATGTGTAGTAAAGACTGTAATGGCTTGTCCATGTTGCGTGTACATTTCTGTATTAAAGAGGACCACATAAATTCATGAGTAAATGTAGGATTAGTGTAAACTTCTGAGAATGCAAAGGCGGTATGAAAGGGAAACTCAGTGTGTAGTATGTTTCAGCGAAATGTGCAAATGTATTTTGATTTACCATCAATATACCTTTCTAAATCTGGTTAACCTTGCATTAAATTATCTTTGTCTTCTGATAACAGATTTGTTTTCGTTAAAGGAATCTATAACATGTCAGTGTATATATTTTTACCATAACGAAGAGACCACAAAGATATTTTGTGAGACATCTGGGTGTCAGTCAAACACGCTGATCCTTTTATTCTGACGCCAAAGGATTTTGCACTTTATTTCCGTTGTTCCTTGTATTTGAATTGTTTGTGGTTGTTTAAATGAAGTGAGATACAAATAAAATATAATATTTCTAATTGTGGCTTACCTGTTTTTGGAATGGAGCTTTATTTGTACAGACATGAAATGAGAAGGATGCTTATAATCATATGCAACTAATGCATGTAATGTATAACTAAAGGATGAGAAAAAAAAGAAAATGTAAAAAAAGAATAACTATAATGTTGATTTATTATTGTTAGTTATTGCGCCCTCAGCTGCTACCTTTCGGTACAACAACAGGGGGAAAGATCCAAAGCAACATTCAAGATAACGAGAAACGTTACAAAATGTTGAGGTTCATGAATGAGAGCATTGCCCCCAAAAATTACGGTGCTTTATTGTCGTAGTTTTTAAACCTAAATTACTCCACTGAATAACTATCATTACTATTTCTAAAACCGTTTAATATTCTGGCAATTTACGTAACATTTACTAACTGAGCTGAAGACTTGAACGCGACTCGTCAGTCATTGGATGTTTACATTACGATGGTGACCGTAGGTGAGTGGTTAAAAGCACAATTCCTCTCTCAAATCATGATATTTGGCACCTTTTCTTATTTATTTTGATTCCGAAAATATATCTACGTATCCGCTTCCTCTTGAGCACGTATAACGTAACCAAAATAAAGCTAACTTTTTAAAGAGCTAATGCTAGGGAAGTAACGTTAAGCTAATGACCACCGGTGTTTTCCATGGTGTTTATAGCACAGGTGCTAACTGCGCTACTCTTGTGGTTTATCGGGTCGTGGCTTGGTCATGGACACCTGTCGTTCAACACAACTAGTAGCATATCTGACCAGGGTGTGAAGCCACAGGGAAGATTGTATGACTGTTCTGTGTTGCAGTGGAGCTGCTGAGTCTCCTGCTGGTGTCCGTGCTGTGGGGCTGCACCAACCCCTTCCTGAAGAGAGGCACTGAGGGGATTGAACATGTCCAACACAACAACAGAGTCTCACAGCTGCTGGCTGAGGTCAAGTTTCTTTTCCTAAACCTCAAGGTAAACACCCTTGCATCCATTCATTGTTTGCCACTGTGAAAGGATTGCTTTTCCTTACAATTAGTTACATTGCACTTTGTTCCATGTGTTGCTCCACAGTACCTGGTCCCCTTTCTCCTGAACCAGAGTGGCTCTTTGGTGTACTATTACACACTCTCCACCACAGGTGAGACACCAACACAGTCTGAAGGTGGACTAACTGAGAATTATTTTTTTAAAGCTGACATTTGAACTATAAGATAAGATAAGATAGTACTTTTATTGATCCCAATTTGGGACATTTTTGCGTTGCAACAGCATAAAAAGACATGGCATTGTACAATCAAATAACTATCACGAAGAGCACAGGTGTTGCTAATAAAATTAACGATAGCTGAGTTGTTCCATTACGTTTGCCAGTAAAGCATCCCATTTAGTTGGCAAGCACAATACTAAAGGCTTGGAAGTGGCTAAAGCAAAGCAATCATCATTATTGTTATTTCTCACACCTGGCTTCTCTTCAGCCAATAAGATCAGGTGCATTTCCTGCCTGCCTGCCTGCCTGCCCGCCCACCCAGAAGTCACACACATAATAATGATATTTTTAATCTAATATAAATTGTTCTTATAATTTCAACCTGCTTTCAGCCAGTGAGAACAATTCTTCAGCCCACCTTATTTATGAAGACTAGGCATCTTTCACAGCAGACAAGTTGAAATGCACAGGTGTAACTAATATTAATAATAATGGTTTAGTTCTGTGATAACAAGTAACATGTAATGTGATAGTTCCCAGTAAGCTTCGGAGTCGGAAAGCTCAATAATACCTAAAACAGCAAATTATACTGCTTGTGGTAACATGTGCAGCTTTAAATGTTAAACGGGAGGGATCTTCCCTTAAGGACAATGGATAAATACAATCATCATCTATGTCCTCCTGCCTTGATAATGTGCTTGTTTTTTGAGAAATAAATGTATTTCTACTGGTTTAGTTTTTTCAATATCCATTATGAGAACATTGGTTCTTTGGGGTATTTTCCTTTTTTGTTCTGAATTTACATCATCTATTTCCAGTAGGAGTCAAGCCTGCTCATTTGGTAGCAGTATATATACAAGTATATATCTATATTATAAATGTTCTTCTCCACTTCTCCCCAGAGATTTCGCTGGCTGTTCCTGTGGCCAACTCTCTTACCTTCCTCTGCACTCTGCTCACCGGCAAGTTTCTGGGTGAAGAGTTTGGAGGCAAACGTAAGGGACTTTATTTTCATACACAAGCTAGCTTTCAAGTACCAGGGCAGTCAAATATTGAGTAATACTGATGCAGGCAAATCTGGGATACTTCAAGCTTTAGGATGAAAAATGTGGCTTCAAAACTAATTCAGAGCGGTTACATAAGCAAGACACAAGACATTTTTTATAGCATTTTATGGAGCAGTTAATTCCCTCCTCTGCCTGAAAAAATACAGTACTGGTTGTGCTCTGTCTTTTTAAATGTGCTTTTTTTAACTTTCATTTTTCTTTCATATCCTCCCCCACACTCCTCACTCTCTGCAGAGGCTGTCGCGGGAATGTTCCTCACCACGGCTGGCATCACGCTGTGTGTTATAAGCTCCATTAATGACACAGACACTGTGAAGCAGAATATGACCCAGGAACTCTAACAGGGATGAGGATTAAATAAAAACTCCCATACCTTCAAGTGATTCCTTTGCAGGGAAGGAAAGGCCAAAGCAGATTTGGGGCGGGACTAGAGGGGGCAATTAAGATTCTGACAGCGACTCCTTAGAGCAACGGCTCTGGTGGGAGAATGGTGCCTAAATGAACTCAGTGTGAGCTTCAAAAAACCTGTCCAGAAGCTTTTACGCCAAGTTTAAGGGGAATTGGGTGCATGTGGGGTTCAACTCAAGGCTAGACTAGATTTATGGGGCTTGCATACAAGTTGGTGGTTGTTAACTTTTAAGTTTAAGTACTCTGCTGCCCCGCCATGTGACTGGCATCTGCATAAATGCTATAGAGACCAAATAGAAATAAGGCTGGGTTTTGAAAATGAACCAATTAGATCTAACCTTCTCGTTTAACGGGGACATTTTACTGCGGACTCCTTCTGTTTGGGAAAGAGCAGGACACAGGAGAACAAATTGCTGTTTTGCTCGAGGATAAAACGGTTATTCATTTACTTATTTTCTGGCTGTCTTGACTCTTGTTTACATAATGTATTACTGAGTTAGATAAAATAATGGTTTTGTTGTTTTATAGCGAGTTACCTTGTTGTATGCTGTGCGAACATGTCTGAAGTATTTGAGAAACAACAGTGATGTACATAGTAATATATTTTGTTTTTATTGTCACAGTATTTTATTGACACAAAATTCTGTACAGATTATGGAATGTGGCTGGTATTCTATTAATAAATTGTTGGCAAAACATAATTTTTTGTCTGAATCACTGATTTCTGCAAATCAAAAATACATGAAGTCTTAAAATATCCCAAAAATATTGTTTCTTATGTACATTTTGAATATGGAATAAAATGCGTCCCCGAACACCTAGACAGTTTATGAATCATTCCTGTAAAACAGATTCACAACAATATAATATAACACTAACTTTATGAAGGGTATAATGTCAGAATAGCGTTGTTTTGTCAGATTCTGGATTGTACTAGAACTAAAGAGAGTGTAAATCTCCTGAGTTATTTGTTCTTATTTTGCATGCCTGTTCACATTTTGGACTTTGTTCTAAAATAAAACAACATAAATTAAAGTTGTCGCTTGGCTCATTAACACTTTTAAAGTACAAATGTAATCAAACATTAATTTGAGCACATTTGGTCATCATAGAAACAGCCGCTGGCTCGTCAGCTGTAGTTAAACCTCTTTGATGAATTCACCAGGACTCCTGATGATGGTTGTGTTCTGTTGTATTGACGGGGCAACCTGTGGGCTCTCCTGTTAGAGGATATAACGAAAATAGTGTTAGAGGAAAAGCAATGAAGCATTTTAATACACTTTGAGGTGGGTAGACTCGCCTTTTCTTCCCTGCTCTCTACCTGAGATGTGTTTGACGAAGGCCTTGACTTCAAAGACGTCTGCTGCCTTTCAGGATCCTGAAATTAGACACACATTGAATGCTGAAAAATGTCTGTGTCCCTTTACTACTGAACATAAGCAGTACAGTATGTGTCATCCCAGAATTTCATCATACTCGATGGTCCTTGCATACTATTCTGTTGTTTCACACCATTTGTTGAGATGTTACCGTGTTACAGGTTACAAATATCATATTCTGAACCCATTTACACAGAAACTGAACCTGTTAATATCAGCACCCGTGTGTTGTGTAATTGTAACCGCCCACTCATATGTCCTATACTGTACCTGCTTTCCCATCATTTGTGAAAGTCTCTTGAGAAAAAGGGTTTTTGTTCCCAAATGCAGAATTCAGTGTCATTTGTTCATCACGCATATTTAAATTGGCAACTGTGTAGAATACAAAAAAGGTCACAGTAATGTATAAATACATAAATTAATAAATGTTCCATCATCCACCTCTTTTCTAAATTATACCCAGTCTGTAAATGTGAAGGACATTGTTTTTCCACATTTCTCTAATTATACAGGAAGCTAACAGATGAACATGAACAATGCCTACCTGCTGAGTGTTGTCTAGAGGAGCGTTTTGTTCCTCATCCTCCACTATCTCTGCTACTCTCTTTGGACAGAAAATGAGAGACAGATTAAGAGTTAGCTCTGCTTTAAACAAATATGAAGACAAAAAATGTTAATGTGTAAAGCTGACCTGGTCAACAGGAAGCTCTGTAGCTGTGTTTTCGTCCTCGTGCACCTCCTCGGCCCCTCGTGCCTCCTCTCTTCTCCTCCGTGCTGCTCTCTTCAACAGGCTGGGCTGGACTGTGACAGACAGAAATCAAAAAGCTGCTGCTATGATCAACAGAACATTTATTATACGCATGCCTACTCCTGGACCCATCGACCTGATACTTATTTCTGCTCAGTTGTGTTCAAGGACAGCTTATTGTTGGGCTGAGTCACTCTTTTGAATATAAAAAATGGTATTGACTGTTTTGTTTGCTGACTCCTCATAACCGGCTGGTGGGCTTTAGTAGCAAAAAACATTTCAGACAATCAGCTAGGCTGAAAAAAAACCTTACCTTGACTGTTGTACAGTAGGCCACATTTGGTCTTTTGTCAGGGCTCAAACACCAACATCCATAGAAACACTGTTTTAGGCATATGATAGCTATGTGACAACGATTAACATGATGAACAGATTAGCTAATTTGAACAAAACATTGTATACGGCTTTGAACCGGTATTCCTGCATCTTGTGACTGTAACACCCTCTTCTTGTATAAGCATGTGAAGGACGCTGTTCTGGGAACTAGTTGTATCATATGCTCTGTATGTAATGACTACTTCCATTCTTGCAAGGATAATAAATACATGTATCCTGATATTGAAGCTCAAGCCGGTGACGAGTGATATTTTTCCAACACTTATAATCAGTTAAATTGGGCACCACATGAGATGAATAAATCCCACATTTTCTTGTCTTTGTCGCTATATTGAGGGAGGTAAAAGAGAGATCCAGCAGGAGGAGATCTGCATTTTACAAAGTTCGCCTTTCTAGTTCAAATGAGGAAAACTAAATTCAGTAAAGATGTTTAAAGTTGGGGTTCCTAACCAGATCCATTGCTGAGTGGGGGTCTGGGCTGTCCTCTGTTGTTGCGGATCTTGACGGGCCTGGAGAAGAAGGCAGACGTCTCCTCTGCTCCCTCTCTCCTGCTCTGCTCTGCTGGAGCTGCAGCGTCATCTCCTGTGGACTTCACCCTGCGACCATCTGACTGAAATTCATGGGATGCAACTGACTAAATATATCATTTCATTTATAGGCAAAATAAAAATACTCTCTGCACAGTTTGTCTCGCTGGGGTATTGAACGTGTTAGGAAGAATACACAAAACAAATTAGCAGTCCCTATATAGCTCTTGTGGTGTGAATTATAGACCGATTTGTACCTCTGGAGAGTCGAGGAGGGCTGAGTCACTGTACTGATCCTCTGGACCACTTCCTGCTTTCCTGTTCTGAGAGAAACACACAAACACATACAGCTGTCACTCACACCTGACATGTGAACATAAGGGAAGACAAACAATGCTTAGACTGTATGTTAAGACTTAAAGGTATGGTGAATAAACTGCATATAATTAAAGGTACCTCATTTCTCCTTAACAGCCTTCTCTTTCCTGGGTAATATCTGCAAAATAAAAAAACAATTCCTTAAATGTTTAAAAAACATGTCTTGTCTGACAATCAACTTTTTATTTATGGAGCAGAACAGACGTATTTACACACACCCACAGAGGACCTTGCACAATACCTCTCTGTAGCTTTTGAAACCAAAAGCTCCACATATGGAAGTTTCTTGAACCTCTCAGTTCCCACGGCAACATAGCAGTGGCCAGTCTCCAGTTCCACAACTGACGACAAAGTCGCTCCTTCCAGAGAGCACAACCTGATAAAGCACCGGGGTCACAGGGAGGTTTTTATTCTATATCTCCTCGTCTATTTTTGTTCCACACGTGTATTTAATGGGTTTGTGTCACTGACCTGCGCACAGCTCCAGTTCTTAAGCTGACCTTCTCAGTGACCAGACTCAGGATCTGCTCCAGGTCCTGCTGCATGCTCCGAGGAATGATGAACCGGAATGGTGGACAAAGCAAGTCTCCATTTCGGAAAACGCTGAACAGAGAACACAGGGTTTTCCTAAATGTCCTAATGTTAAGTCAAAGTAAAAGATGGGAAAGCCAAAGCTATGAGACTATAATTCTGAATTAGATAAATCAAGGGGTATCTTTCAAAGTAACAGTCTTTTACTTGCAGAAGCCCTTCTTTTTGTTTCCCTGGACAAATAAAAACATTCACACAAGTTTGGGCGCTTAAAAAAGATTCACGAAAGTTATTACAACTCATTCTGAGAAGGAGCCACAGTCAAATTGTACAAACAAATACAGTTAGTTACCTATATCCTCAAAAGAAACATTATTTATTGCATGTAGTTTATCAAACTCACTGTATAATGCAGGGTAGAGGTATAAACTTTCTCCATTTGGCTGAAACATTGAGCCTCTGGGATGCTTTGGCCTGCAGAAGACAAGAAAATCAGATAGTTGACACTGCAAACTCAGTGCTATTGAAAATTCCTCTTAAATCATGTACTGTATATCCTGCACATCCATCACAGAAAAAATTATTTATCCTTAACCTGTAATGGCTCACTAACTATTCTGCTCAAGTGGCGCAGCAAATGAATCTAACATCACTGCGAGATGTCTTAAAAGGCTCATTTTTGTGATCTGAGGGTTCCTCTCAAAGCCCATTTTGTCCCATATTTCAATTAACTCTTCAGTCGATATCCATGTCTGCCTCTGATATGTAGCTGGACTAAATCAATCCACTCAGAACGCCCCCGACATTGATAATCTCCCGTTATTGTTTTTACTTTGAAGAGAGAGACATTTGATGCATTTACAGTGTCTCAGAGCAGAGAATAAGGAGGCATGGGGCGGTGAATTGTGGGTAATAGGCCTGTCCAGACACAGCCCTGATAACACTGCGTGAAAGCACCACTCTTTGTTTCACCAGCTGGATCAAACACAACTCACATACAGACACACTTCCTGCATTGCTCCACAGCAACCACAACACAGGCATGTAAGACTTTAAAACCTAAGAACTCTCGCTTTCCAAATGGCAGTCACCCAAGGCACACACAATCGGTCTCCGCTCCTTTTATGTTTTTCAGAAAAGTAACACTGATGGTTTGAGACTGAGAGCACACTCAAAAAAAGGGGGTCATACTGTACCTGCCAGCGGGTCAGAATACAAAGCAAGCACTCCTCAGCATGTGTGAACGTGTTTGAAATGAATTTTGTTTGGATTTTAAGAGAGCTTCCGCCATCACTGAAGAAAACAGATTTCAGATTCACTATAGAAAATGGTTATAAAATCTGATTTACTTCAGATGTTTTGCTCTTTGGCGACATCCAGCTGTAATTACTGAGTCTAATGTCACATTGGAGCTTTTACAGGGCGCACCGCAAGGCCTGAGTGACATGTAAATGACAGTTAAGTCATTAGACCATTGTATCCGGTAATTTACATGACAACCACACGGACATCGAGGGGACGGTAAACGCAAAGGGTGGCCCTAATCAAACTAATGCCAACAAAACAATGTGTGGTCAAATGTAAAGGCAAATCTCACTAATGGAAATTCCTCATATTTGCTTTGGCACAATATCAACTAGAAAAGGTTTGATTTGAGTACAGTGCCAGGGGGTGCATTCTTCCTGGTTAAACTGGGATTAATCAGTGATGGAGTGGGCCTTAAAAGCAAAACGCCCACACATCAAAATAAAAGCCTACCTGGGTTTCTTCACGGCCAGAAGGCTGCTTTTTCGTTCTTGCGGTCAGGTAACTATGCATTAAAACAAAAGATATAACGAAGAAAATCCTTTTAAACCCTTTTCTCACACAAAAGGTATGCTAGAATTGATTCTTAATTAATTTCCTTTCATTTTAGACACAGAAAGCCTCTAGAACTGCACACTAATATCAGCATAGTAAGTGTTTTTTGTACTTACTCAAGTTTTTTGAACCGTTCAAAGCCAGCAGCAACATACTTGGCTCCTGTCTGAAGATCCTGGAGGTCTGAGACCCTGTGCCCCTGCCTGGGCGTGTAGAGGGTCCTGACGGCCAGGGGGGCCCCGATGCTCCGGGTCACTTCAGTCAGAAAGGCCTCCATGCTGGCCACCTGTCGTTGGTTGACCACAAACCTGCGTCCACTGTAGAAAGGGTCTCCATTCTTATAGACCACCACGCTCTTCACTGGAGGCAGGAGAGCCGTGGCTGCTGTGCTGGCAGCCATCTGAGCCAGGTAGGCTACTGATAGTCCACACACAATTTTTTTTAAAAGGTGTTTTTTTAAACCACTAACACCACATCATTCTCTCCACATACATGTAATTTCACTCACTTAGCCTATAATTGCATTTCCTGACCATCTTCATACACCAGGTACATTTACATAACACATTCTTTGAATCACACATGAATAAAAACCATGTTCAGTCACTACCTCCTGTTGGACGATGAAGCGAGGAAAGGCTTGAATCGGAGGCGAAAGGTGAAAATCCTTCCCTTCTATTGTTGTGATCCGTCTGGACTCCCACTCACCACGTTCTGCTCTCTCTATCCCCCCTAGCACACACACACACATTCACACACTAGGTACTCCACTGACGGCAGTGAGTATTTCCTGGTTGCTATGGCAGCATGGCCAGCAATGACCGGCTTTGTGGGCCAAACCATCGGCAGCAACCACAACAAAAGGGGACAGACAGAGGAGAGAAGGGGTGGGTCGCTGTGTTGTTGTAAGCTGAATCAATAAGATAACTTCTACATCCACTTGTCTGTATTTTCCCCCAAAAACATATTTGCCAAATAAGCATAAGCTGGCAATTATGGTGACAAAACCATTACGGAAATGTCTCAAGTGACCTTTTAAACATGACATTTGATCTAAAAACAAGGACTTTTTTGGAAGCAGGACAATGTAATTTTTTCCTTTTAAAAGCATGTTCCTAAGTGCTCTTTAATGACATTAATACCTTAAGACTACAGCAGCTTAATAGGAGACAGTTGTGTGCAGAACTCCTATGTGATGCGTGAGAGCTCATTCATTGTGATCTAAATGGGGAATTTGAGCTTCTGTGAGTCACAACCAACTTGTTTTGAGCCAGCGATCGCCCTGACCTGGATTGAGTTCACCTTTTCCTCCACAACAGTAACAGTAACTACCTCACCCAGTCACAAATGATGTCACGAGACCGATATGAGCAGTGGCAACAACAGCAGAAAGTAGACTTTTTAGAAAAATACAGTTTAATCTTTATTTTTAAACATAGCAAATAAAATATACACAATGTACAGATCTACAAAAAATGAGTTAATTCCATGGATGACAATTTATTTCCGGTGTCTTTGTATTTGAGTACAATAATATCCTGACAGCGATCAGTCCAGTTCAGATTACTTCTGCCTTCAAGATACGCTCAGCCCATCCTTGAGTGACAAGTACTGTAGAGGAGAAGGAAGAGAGGAAAAAACAATCATTAAAAGTTAATTCTTCTGACCCGTTACACCTCAGGTGAACCCCATGCATGAGTAAATCCTGCTGGTCTGGGTTCAGCTGCAGTTTACATTTGGTGTTGTTTTTGCACATTCCTCCACATCTTGACACCTTTACACCCTCTGGAGCTGCAGGGTGCTACATGGGGGCAGTGGTGCAGGTTTGGTGAAGACAGTCATTTGTTAATAGATAAATTACGGGATTAGATTAGTACACAGGCTGGCTGCAAAGGTGACAGAAAGCTGGATAAACTAAAAACAACATTGCAGATGCACACAGATATTAAGGAGGTTCGATTGTAGGAAGAAAATGATGCTCTGTGCTGCTTTACTGCTATCAGGACATATTGATTGTGTTCAATAGGTAACACTGTGGTTATTATTTAGGTATTAATATCTACAATATAGGTTTAAGTATTTCTTCTAGAACTAATGCATCTTTGACCCAATTTACTGACTTACTTCTGAGGTCAGTTAATAAATGTTGTTTGTAATTTTCTTACAGCAGGAGACTGCCACCAATTAATAAATGTATTGAAACGCCACATTCCTCCCTTCCTTCACATTACCTTTTTCCTGCTGTCAATGGCCTGTTGGAGCCAGACCAGCTCCATGGTCAGGGTGTTTCTATGGAGACGCAAGGCCTGTGGGGTGGGGGGCACTTCCTGAGCCAAGCTGAACTGTCGGGGACCTGGAGGAAAGGTGAGCGATAAGGCATTAACTCTACAGGAATCACATCGGTTGGCAACCACAGTTACATGCGTTTTGTACATGTTTTGTGTTTATTCTTCTATTTCATTTAAAACCTCACATTTTGATCAGATTAAATAAATGGTATGCATTTTATTACTTACATAAAAAAAGATGAAAAGGTCCCTTTCTTAAGTTATTACTGTTAAACACATTATAATAAGTGCAGAGTGTCATCCTCCCTCACTCGCTATGCTATCATTAAAAAAGGAATGAAGGCCAAACATTTTTCTTTAAAAAAACTAAACTATAATAATGTCAATCCACTGTTTTTTATATATTCGAAGCAAACTATAGCCTATATGTTCCATAATCAACTGAATATATATATATTTTGTATACAGATATTAATGTCTGCAGTGCTGTGAGAGGAACTACTTTTGTTATGTTAGCAACCTTTGGGAGAATGACCCTCGTTGTTGTCCAGCTCCAAACTGCTCCAGACGGTGGTGGAGTCTCCATCTTTCTCCCCCTCAGTGCTTCCTTTCTGTCCCTCTCCATCCTCTCTAACATTACTGCTGAGGGAACAGTCCTTAGAGGGAGAAGCCTGTCTTTTGGTTTGTGAATCATCTCGCTCTGCTTCTATCTTCTCAAGCAGGACATGATGGTCTCCTTTCTCCTCTGGTAAGGGTGCTGAAGACGATGATGATAATGACGATGACAGTAATGACAGGCTCTGGGGACTGACACAGACATCGAGTCCAGGAGTTGAAGATTTTCTGCTAGAGCTGCGGTGTCGTAGGAATGGGCACTCCTGGTAATGCATGAGAACAGAGCTACAATTTATTTATATTTAATCAAGAACTGTACTTCAGTACAATCTGACTATATTTTTACTATAATTGAGTTTTTTATTTTTATGCCACTTTCTACTTGTGATGAAGTAGATTTGAGCGATATATAGGTAATTGTGACATTCCACATTATTTTCACATACAAAACAATCAATCGATTAATTGAGAAATGATCAGTAGTAATCCATAATGAATTAATAATTGTTTGCAGTTAATATAAAATAGTAATACATTTAAAATAATAATAATCGTTATAATATATTAATTAAGATGAATAGTCACAGGATACATGTTTCTAAATGTATAGAAGTACTTTTAATAATTTAAATAGATTTTCATATAGTGAAGTAACATTTTCAACATTTCTACTAGTAATAGAGTGGTATTCGTACTTTTGTAAGTAAAGGATTTGAATAAGCACCGATTTCAAACGATTAACGTAAACTCTCACATCCGATGTAGTTACTTACAGTGTCTGTGAAGTGGGGAATGGGGATGATTGTCTCCCTCCACTGTAAATGGGTCAACCCTCCATCAATCTCCTTAACGATGTCCTCAAAGTCCTCTCGTGCACTACGGATTTCATTTATTACCAGGTATCTACGTGCAGATGCCTACCGAAGAGAATAATTCACAGTAACTATAGGAACATGTCACATGTAGCCTCAAGCTAACTGCAACACTTACTTTAGTAGCGAAATGCTAAAAACAATAGCTACTATTAGCACCGTTTCTGGAGTTAGAAGGTAAACAGCCCGACATAGCTAAAATAAACACCTGAATGGAATTAGTGTAGGTATAAAACACTTCGTGGGGCTGTACGGGTTTGAAGTAGGCTAATAACATAACATAATTACCTGAAAACAGGTGAGTATATGCTCCCATTCGCTTCTGTCCATTACTATGGTTACATGACGGAGAGCGGGAGATGAACTCAAACTTTTAATTTGTTTCCGGTGTCACACTGACAAAATAAAAGCCTCCTTCTTATTTGTAACCAAACGTGTTTCGGTTAAGCTCTTAAAAATATATATTGTCGTCTTGACAATACAGGGAATTACTTTGTACACTTGTGTTTATATTTAATCGACCTAAATGATTGGAGTAAAGCCGTTGTCATGTATGTGGTGTTATATTATGGTAAAACGTTGGCGGAAGTGACCCCGTGTTTATGTACCAGCCTGTATTCAGTTTGCAATGTTGCTGCTCGTCACATGGCACGGTTTCTTTACGTTTTTCGCCTTAACTAAAGAAAATGAGTAGTGGTTCAAATCAGAAGACGTTGTTCCAGACTTGGGGTGCATCCGTCTCCAAAAACAAAGTTGTTCCACCGAAACAGGATGTCAAGAAAGCTGCTGGACGGCGCAAAACAACCCCAAGCAACACTGCTCAGGTAGCTACAACATATCCTCCTCTCAATCCACTATGGGCTCAAATAGGGCAGGGGTGTTCATACACAACAGAAAACCAAGTGAGGAGGACAGAGGACCCTAAACCTGCATATGAAGAGGATTTTGATGACGATGATTTGATGGTGGTCGCTGTTTATGAAGCTGAGAAGAGCCTACAACTTGAAAATGGGAACTCTTTTCAATATGACAACCCTGTAGCAGCAGAGAGCACTGCCCTCTCTCCCGTCCCCTCAGGTGGGCAGACATATCCAGACTTCCCTGGCTTTGACAGCTCCTCAGCTAAGGTATGGATTTACCCCACCAACTACCCCCTCAGGGAGTACCAGCTGAAGATATCAGAGGCAGCTCTGTTTCAGAACACACTGGTGTGTCTTCCCACTGGTCTGGGAAAGACATTTATAGCCGCTGTGGTTATGTACAACTTCTACCGCTGGTATCCATCGGGGAAGATTGTATTCATGGCTCCCACCAAACCTCTGGTGGCTCAGCAGATCGAGGCCTGTTACAAAGTGATGGGGATCCCACAGGCACACATGGCTGAGCTGACAGGTAACACTCATGACACACAGGCTGTGGCTCCCATCTTTCTTTTGTTATACTTTACCAACAATCAGTCCATCTCCTTTCTCTACAGGCAGCACAGCAGCAAAGAACAGACAGGAGGTGTGGAGGAACAAGCGTATCTTCTTCCTCACCCCTCAGGTGATGGTGAACGATCTGTCCAGAGACACCTGCCCGGCCCAGCAGATCAAGTGTGTGGTGATCGATGAAGCCCACAAGGCGCTGGGTAACCATGCCTACTGTCAGGTACACAAACTTTTCACTAATTATCACAGCTTGTCATTCAATTCAGTGTTGTGTCACTGCTGACTGCTGCAGCAGTATGAAACTTTATTCACAATTGTTGCTGTAATATCAAACTACTGTCGGCAATGTGACAAAATCAAAAGCAGGCGTGCTTTAATGTAACGAAGTACCATGATCTTTATACTAATTAATTAATTTGCTGTAATTTGTCTAACATTAAAGAAAATGAATATACTTGAGACTATGGCAATACAATTCATTTCTCACAATGTTTTATATCGGCTCATCTTCCTGTTACTCAGGTGATCAGGCAGCTCGGCAGTCAGACTCTGCAATTCCGTATCCTGGCCCTAAGTGCAACCCCAGGTGGAGATACAAAGGTAAGAACAATATCCTATATCTGTTATCCCTTTTTTCTCTCTAGCCTAATGTGACCTCATAACAAAAATCTCTATTTAACTATTTCCTTATCTGATTCCACCTTCCCTCTCCCTCCAGGCGGTGCAGGCAGTGATCTCTAATTTGCTCATTTCCCACATTGAGCTGCGTTCAGAAGAGAGCCCAGACATCCAGGCCCATTCCCACCAGCGCAGTGTGGAGAAAGTGGTGGTTCCCCTGGGAGAGGCTCTTTCTGCTCACCAGGCGCGCTACCTGCAGGTAGTCACAAGCATTTTAACAAAACTTCTCCTTTTCTTTAAAGCTTTTAATTTTTCCTACAAATTGCTCGGAATATGTTTGATTTCAAGTGCTCTCCTTTAAATATGTGTGATTTGCAACATAAACTGGTGTTTCTACTACACAACACTCATGTAGGCCAACAATCTTTTAACATTTAATTGAAACAATCCCATCGTCATTATTGTTGGTTGTCTCCTGGCGTCTCACACCAGATGTGGAGCGAACCAGAGCTCATAAAACATTCAATCAAAGTTAATATGAACAGCTGCCAAAACAAAACATTTTTTTCCGAATGACTATTTACGATAATATATATATATATATATATATATATATATATACGATAATAAAGGCTTTTATAGTTTGTACACTTTGGTTAAAGGTGGGGTAGGTAAGTTTGAGAAACCGGCTCGAGATACACTTTTTGTTATATTCCATGGAATGCTCTTAACATCCCGATAGCAATGAATATCTTAAGTGCTTTGACAAAAAATCCATAAAAAAATTTCATCTGTGGAAGCCGTAGTACTGTAAAAAGCACGACCAATCATTTTAGCCGGCCCGGCTAAAATAACTGGATGGCCTACCTGCCTGTCAGCCTTCCATCTGTGCACAAACTTATCTCGTGCCCTCATTGGTCACGTGCGCGCTCGTGTGTGTTGGAGGAGGGGCTCTGTAAGGAAGTGGCAGATTTTTTCCGGTTGTGTATTTTCAAATTCCAGCGCACTCGAGCTGGTTTCTCCAAAATCACCGACCCCACCTTTAAGGTACCTAGAAAATGCATTGAAAGCGCTCAACTTTAACTCCTGTACAAACCCTTAACAATTAAACATCAGACATAACGGTCCGAGTTAAGAGAACGTGAAGCTCACTTTTTTTTATACAATTGCAGCTAATTGCTAAGACTGAATTTCTTTCTTGTTGTTACCAAAACTACTTTTTTATTAATTTATATTTTTAATCAATCTTCATTGTCATTGATGTTTTCACTGCTGGATTCATGACTGTTATATCCAGTAACACACCAGAACACAAAAACATTTCAACTTTTAATTTAAACGTTAGTTTTATATTCCCCCTTTGTTTCCTGTTCCTTTTTGTTTTTAGTGAAATATAGATTTATGGATATATAGATGATATAGCATCTTACATTTGTAGTTTGTTTTGGTGTTTTGCTGCCACCTTGTGGTCACTGTTTGCTTGATTCTGTTGTAGAAAAACTTTGGCCTTAATCCTTTTCTCAGCAACACATATTTCCTCTGGCTCTGTGGTTCATCCTGGGTCGATTAATGTTACATTGGTTGATTTGTCCTGAAAGCAACATCCTTTCCCCACTCATTGGTCTGGCTCCAGCGCTGGTGGACTAAATGGTTCTGGATTATTAACGGACCCTACAGGCTCTCTTCGTGTCACGGGTTGGCTTACTGTCGGTGTGTACTGTACTGTAAATGTGCAGCTACACTTCATCTGGCTGGACAGCTGGAATGTGACACCTGCATTCGAGAGCTTCGACCTGTTGTACATAAGCTCTGTTGGGTCTTCTTGGTCCTTTTATTCCCATCTTTCTGATCCTTTTTGGAATCTTTGTAATAATAGAGATTGTCTGGCTTAATGTGTAATTGCTTTGACTTTCAATGTTCACCTTCTCTTTATATTACCCCCCCCTGATGGGATGGCGTCTGCAGCCCGCCGGTTAACCTCCATTTCCCCCTGCTCTCTCTTAATTTGATCGGACAGGACACAAAATACAGATATGCCTGCACTCGGGTGTAAAATGAGCACCACTGGAGTTATTCAAGTGGAATTTCATGATTGCTGAGCAAATCAGAAAGATTAGCCAGTCATGCAGACAGGTTTTTTTGGGGCTCAGTGTGTGTGCTGTTCCTTTTAGCTTTTGGCCCATTTTTAATATAGACATTAGAGAGAGACCAGTCCTCATAACACTTAAAGAAGCCTCATGATTTCTTGTGCCCATGCATTGTGGTTTTAATTGAGCGTGGATAGAGGTTTTTGTAGACAACGCGTTTAATCTCAGTGAACATCTAGGCCACGGTGTCCAAGTCAGACCTGATATACCTTCATACATTTGTACAACCTAGATAGAAACCTATGGTGTAAGTTAGGACTCTGTATTGGTGGCATTCCACATACATTGGAAGTAATTTGTATACGAATATCTGTTATTTACTTTAAAATATTCTATCTGTCATGAACAGTCTGTACTTTAACACGTGTTCGGTTTAAACATATAAATTGTGTTTTCACATTTATTAGAATATTTCCTGTGTACCTTGGAGTCAGCTGCAAACAGTTCTTTGTTAGAAATCCCATATAAACATTGCACCGTATTGTGCAATAGTCTACACTCTGATATACTATAGTGTGTGTGTGTGTGTGTGTGTGTGTGTGTGTGTATGTGACCCTCTTGTGAGAACTCATCATGTTACTATGCTACAGTAACTGAGCACCAGTTGTTTTGTAAAACAGGTTAAGCTATATATTTTGGAACAAAGTAGGTGTGTTTGTTGTCTACATAGAGCCCATATTATCTATTAAGTATACAGTACTTGCTGTTTGGGATGTATTAGTATGAAGCTAAGATGTTTTTTTAATCAAACAAACTAGGTCAGTTGTTACATTAGTATGAACATAAATAGTTAACTGTATGTATTTAGAGGTTTATCCTGAACTCTTCTGTACTTCTGTATATTACTTAAACACATTTCTGCAGTGATACTCCCAGCATGATGTAGATCTTGTGTATTGTGTATACGAGCCTAATGAAACTCCACGTCACTGTACATTTCAAAAGACAGGAGACAAGTACGTTTTTATTGAACAAAGAAAACCACAGTAGCTCTTGCTGTTGCACTTGCATTTTTACAGTACAGCACACTTTTGAAAAACACCAAAACAATAAGCAAAAAGAAAGGAAAAACTCACACTTGATGTTCCCATATAACCAGGCTTTTAAAGGGAAACCCCACTCACATGAATCATGGCTTTGCAAGTCAACTCTACAATCATTTAATGCAAAATCAATTATTTGGATTTGGATATCTTGATGTCAACCAAAACTGCCTGACTTTAAGACTGGGCAACCTTTCCAACCCAAAACTAACTTTCTTAATATCTTTGTTTTGTGGATTAAATACAATGAAACAAACCTGCTCACAATTTGAGCTGAATTTCAATTTATTTGTATTTTACACACAAATATTAGGCCTCAATAACTGACCGCAGAAGCATTTCATAGGATGACCCTGTCCTGGTGAATCACACAGTGATGATTTGGCTAGTTCACTTCCAGTTTTATTTCACTGGCACCCAAGCAGTAAATGTAAAGTTCCTAAGCAGAAACATTTCTATATTACTGTGAACTCTAGGTGTAGCTGGTTTGATGTGTAGTGGTGTTGTGTTGGATTGCATTAGTTTTTAATTACAAATATATTGAAGATAAACATATATATACTTAATTCACTCTGTTTAATGTTCTATGACCTATCTAAAGAGAGTATATAAAGACAGTTTGAACTAAAACAGAATGTAGCTTCTATTGAACATAAAGTGTATAATCACAGTAAAGATATTCTCTTCACTCTTCTTTTCTTGGTTGCATTGTCTCTACTCAGCAGCAGTGGTGTTTGCACTAACATTGACACATAGTAGAAAGAGCATAAGAGGTACACGGTAACTATTTTATGTGTGAATAGATTTGAAACAAGGAATGCATTTACTTGCATCATTTCCTTAAGAGAGAAGGATGTATTTATTGAGTACTTTGATTGTCATTCAGCTGTAAAATCAGTGAGTTTTTCAGTGTTTGGTTTATAGAAGTGTGTCATTAGTTGTTACCCTCCATATAGCTGTACATTCATGCTCAAACAAACACATTGTGTGCGTTTTCATTAGTGTTTCCTGTTGTGTTGAGCTTATTTAAAGTTGACGCCTCGGTTGTTGTCTATCTGGTTGTCATACATTGGGTTAGTGGCTCAGCAACTCTAATAACTTTATTTTTTTATATATTGCACTTACTACTAAAACAATATAGCATATCAGTGTGACTGGCATCACATTGTTGTGAATCATGTAGTCAAGAGATAAAGGAAACGGCAAATAAACAGTGATAGAGTTGAAATCACCTCAGCTAGCTAGAGAATGACAGGGAAACACATCTGTTTGTGTTTGTTGTGTATTGACTTTCAGCCCACATGACAAGACATTGTAGCTGTGCAACAAACAGAAAGGGAGCATGATAAGGCTGCATGTCCTCTGGGAACCTGCCTCCGCTGTGGAAAGACAGGCCGTTGCATGTGTTCACACAGCGCTTAAGAGTTAAAACTATTTCAACTACAGGGCACTGTGCTTAGGAAAGGTTATTTGCCACCTCAATGTAAGAGCGAATGCTATACTGCACTTTTATATCTGTGTTATGTCCATGAAGGGGTATGGCAGTGGTTTGGTTGAGCTCTTATGGGTGAAATAGGGATCTATCTAAATGAACATGGAAAATTCACTGAGGGTAAAATAAGGGCTGAGTTTTTTTTTTGTTATGGCCCCAACTGTTCTGGAGTGTGCTGGGCTGGTGGGCGTTTCAGGTAGAGGTGGCGACTAAAGACTGGGTTGCACCTCATCTGAGGCTGTAGCTGAGCTGCGGCAGTGTTAAGGGAGTCTTTATGAGGCTCAAGGGTCACAGATAAGAATGATGCTTAATCTTCTCTCGTCCCTCAGGGCCGCTCTAGGAACCAGATCTCGTTCTGGCGGTTGATGTGAGCAGGGTTAGTGTAGCCGGCCACCATGAAGGAGTTGTTGACGCACTCGCCAGCGGGCTCTAGCTGCTCAGCCATGGCATTGATCTGCTGAACGATGGTCACTTCATTGGTGGGACCAGTGAAGGGCCTAGAAGAAGGATGTAGTCGTGCATACATTTGAGGAATCACATTTCTACAGGCCTAACTATTGATCAATAATCATAAAGA